TTACATATGAGAGATGTTTCTTTCACAATGTATATCTATCAATAAAAAAATTAAAAAAAGAAATGATGTTTATTTACAAAAAAAAAAAAAAAAGAATTATAACTATCAGAAGAATCCTTTAATAAATTAATAATACAAAAATTTTTATTAAAAGAATAATTATTTTCAAGAGAATTTAAATCCTCTACAAAAGTCTAAAAGTAAATGACTATTAATTAATAAAATAAATATTACTGTATAAACAAAATATTATAAGAATACTTTTGAAATACTTTACATATCTTTAATATTATTTGAAATAATAAAAAATTTTGATTCATTTAAATCTTTATTAGACTCGTTACTAGAGTTTACAGTTAAAATACATTTGTTAATATGCCTTGTATAAAAGGAATATCTTGAATATGGTTTTGAAAATTGGAATCGAACAGAATCGCAAGTAATCGCATGAGATTCTGAACACTATTAAAATGATAGTGGGGTATACTGTACTTCACCTATTAAATTTAATATAAACTTGAGAATCAAATACAGAATTGAAGAGAATTCTTAGAATCTTTAGTCTTAAAAAGATATGTTGACAATATTGATATTTGTAATTCATTTTAAAAGCCTTTGAAGAAATCTGAAAATACATAAAATTAACCAATAAAATATTGATTAATTTTGACTAATCAAAAATTTAATTTATAAGTTGTAATAATTATGACTCTAAAATAATTTCATTTTCATATAATAACTTAATAATTTATATTTATGAAATAATTTTCAAAAAATAATGAAAAAAAATTTGCAATTATAATATAACATAATTTCTTGAAATTTATATTATATAAGATTTCTAAAGTTTTTAATTTTTTTTTAATATTAAACAAAAAACAAGAATGCATAAAATATTTCAAAAACTTATTTCTGGTTTTATTAAAAAAAAAAAAGAAAAAAGTCAAGAAAATACTTCAAAGTCCTCTAAAAAAACAAAAAGTGCTTAGGAAATCCAAGGGCCAATTACTGAATAAAGACTCTTAACTTTTATCAAAATGAAAACAGAAATATCTCGAAAGTGATTAAGATTTTCTAGATATGTTTTTGAATTTTTTGATATATCAGTATGAAGAATGTCTAAAGAAATTTCAAGTATATTTAAAAATTTGTTATAATTTAAAATAAATACTAATTTGGTTTCTAATAAAAACATTAAAAGAATCATAAAGTTCTACAAAGGCCTTCATAAAAAAATTGATCAATTGTTAGAGCAGCAAAAAATTATAAAGGATAAGATTACCTACTTAGAAAATAAAATTCATATAAGTTAATATTTAATTATCAAATATGATTTTATTGAAGTTATGTTTATTTTGAATTTTTTCAAAGATCTTTAAAAACTTATATTTTATTTAAATAGTATGTAGTTAAAAGTATTGCGAAACAAGTATTTTTTGAAAAATTATATCCAGAACATGAGAATTTTTATCAAACAACCAAGAAATTTTTTTAGCTAGAATATTCAGAGTTTTACAAAAGCTTTATAAGAAAATATTAAAAAACATATTAAGAAAAGTATATTTATCAAGCAGTAATTTTTATAAATATTAATAACTTTAATTCTTTAGTTATTTAATAATTTATTGCTTTAAAAGCTTATAAAACAGCATCAATTACTTTGTAAGACTATGGCTTCAAAAGTTTGTGATATCATGTTTTCAGTTTTTGGCAAAAGATATTTGAATACAATAAATACAAATGTAATTGCTATCAATATTTTGGCCTGAAAACAATTTTAAAAAACTGCAAAATGCTTTAAAAATCTTCACAACTGTTCAAGAGGAGAGATATAAAGCATGATGGCCTGTATTCTTGAAAAAGTTTGATTAAAGAGAAATGTCTTTGATGAACAAGTGATATATACTATTATAGTATGTCAAATAATTTTTGATCTGAATAATAAAAACATTTTGATAAATGAAATGTTAATTAAAAGCAAAGTAGAAAAAAATAAGATAAGTTTAAAAATCTTCAAAGTATTATAAATTATTGCTAATAATATTTTTAAAAAAAAATTAAAAAAAAACTTAAATTTGAAGAAGAAAATTCAAATAGCAAAGATGAAGAAATAACTGATCTACAAATAATTACTATAAAAGAATTTTCAAAAGATTATGAAAATACTAAGAATAATCCAAAACTATTACTGGAAAATTGAGAATTATAAAGAATTTCAGCAATGAGTAAAGATTTAAACAAATAAATAAATGTAAACAAGAATTATATAATAATAAAAAATCGATTAAACATTTTAAATTAAATATTATTAAATTATAATACATAAATATAAATATAGTTTATTATTATTAAAAAAAATTGAAAATCTTTAAAGATTAATATATAAATTTTCACTTTGAAGTCTTTTAACAATGATAGAGGTCCTCTAGAGATTTATGCCTAAAAATTTTCAAAGATTTTTACTTAAAAAATTTCTTGATAATGTATTATCAGACAATTGTCCCATCACAATGCCTTGTATGGTTAGGTTACAATTTCAACACTTATTGTATTAGTATATGAATTGATTTTTTATAAGAAACAATACATTTTAATTAATTATAGTGCCAAATACCATATTGATTCTATTTAACTGTCTTTATATAAAGTTGAATTGGAATTTTGTAATCTGATCTGTAAAATGTTAATTACTATACTATAGATTCACAGATTATTTAATTATTTATATATTTTAATAATATTTATTTTAACAATTAATTATTTTTAAAAATTATTTTTATTAATCTTTTTATTAATTCAAAAAACAGATATTTCAAAAAGGTTTTATATTTTTTTATAATAAAATCTATATATTTTATTTAATAATATTATTATTTAGAAACTTTGATCTTTTTTACTTATTATTTTTTTTTTATATAAACTTCTAATATTTTTATAAATAAATATAAAAAAAACTTATTTATAAAGTCAAAAATAAAATATTTTATTAGAAAAAAGAATATAAAAAAAATATAAACAAGATATGTAAATCCTATATGTTCTATATTGTGCAATCTTTACCTAAAAATGTAATTAATTACAATAAAAAAAAACAATATACTCTGATAAAAAAAAATTTGGTATTTCTTTTTTCTTTCTTAAACTGATTTTGTTTTTCTTAAAGATTAAATCTTATTATTAATTATTTCAAAAATAATTGAAAAAGAGATTTTGAAACTATTTACTAATTAAATAAAATTATAAATTCTTGAAGAATTAATTAGAAAAAAATTATCAAATAAAATATTAATTCTCTCTAAAAATCAAAAATCTTTCTATATAAAGTTTCAAGAAATACTTTTTTGAAAAGACTTAAATATTCATGATTAACAATAAAATAGTAAAAATTGAATAGGTATATAGTTTCAGGTGGCCAAATTAGATTTTGTTTAAGAAAAGTTTTTGTTTTATCAATGCAAATCTTTTTTTACTTTTTACTTTTTCTTAAATAAATAAATTTTTTTTATCTCTATAGATCACAGTAGCTATGTAAAATGACAGTTCTAAATAAAAACTGACTGTAATTATTAAACTGATAAAATATTGCAATTTTTCTTGTTTTCCATAATTATATCTAAAGGCCTTAGGCTTATAACAAGTATACTGCATAATATAAATAAGTTTAATCTTATTATAGTATTTCTTAATACATATATATAAGCATCTTTTGCATAGGATTAATAAACATAAGTGACATGCAATCTGATTTGGAATAAAAAAAAATCAAATAATTATATCAGGTTTATCAAGAATCTATGGATTTTAACATGTATAGGTATTACTTTTGAAATCAAATCTTGTAAAATTATATATATTGTACCAAAAATATTGTTTATGAATATTTCAAAACACATATTTCTATAAATGTAAATAACATGAATTAAGCTTAATTCAGAATGAAATTTGAAACTATATCCCTAAATATTATTTTATGCTCATACAATATCAAAAAAATTAACAATATACAACAAATAATTAGAATCATATGGAATATTAAAATATAGAATAATAGTGAGTAATGAATTAAAGAAAAAATACTTTTTTACTGTATTTTATCATGTATCTGATGTGTTACTGTATATTTTATTTGTATTAATAAAGTAACGTATACGATTTTTTATTTCATTACCTTTTAGGAGAGCGGGTTTCATTCAACTGCGCTTCAGTTTCGGGTGCAATCTTCTTCCCTTTTGTTTTTTAAATATAATTGTTTGACTACTTTCTCAATCTCAAGTGTTTTTTTCTACATTTGACCGACAAATTAGGTATATATTTATTTATTTAATATTTTAGAAAATAAAATCACTTACTTCAAGTAATTTGAGAATGCAGTACGCGTCCTCAAGCATCCCAAATTCATCTTCGTCCGATGGTAATCTGCATTGGTCGATTAAGCCAAATCTGTATATACCAGAACATGACCAGTCCATGGCATAAAAATTCAGTTCTAGACCTATATATAAAAATGAAGTTTATTAGCAAATTAAATCCAATCTACATAATATAGACAAAACTTACCGAATTGAAGCCATCCATATATAGTTAGATTCATACGTTTCTCGGATGCTATATGTTTGAATTCCTTTAGTAGTCTGTTAATGCCATCGCGCATTGTTATCATTAGTTTTATCTTATCGAGGTAACGTTTTTTACGACAGGCAGTGGGTATTCCAAGTGGACCCAATCCCCCTGCTACTTCTCCATAAATGACCTCGAATTTATTAGAAGTTTTGAAAAGGGTGCTCTTCATATCTACACGTCTTCCTATACGTGCTTTTTTAAATGGATTTCCCTTTTCGTTGCGTGCATAATTTGTGGGTAAAGCTTGGATTTCTCCCCTATATATGCAAAATAGTTATTAATATTTGAAAAATACTTTCAATACAAATGTAAATAAGTAATCCCCACCAAATATTTTTAATCCTATCAGAAGTAAATATTCCACGAAATAATGGAAATGCTGAACTCATTTTTAATTCTTCCTCAGTCATCATTCCTTGAAAACTATATACATCGCTTTTCCTGTATAGCAATATAGAGTCAGAACACTACAACCAGATATCAAATATAATCAAAACCTTATAAATACATGAACTGAATGTTGACAGCCAATTTTTTAATATTGTCATTCTTTTTCTCACAATTACTATCAAAATATTCTCGTATATTCTCTTCTGGAGGCATTTTTTTCCAGGAAATTTTGTTGGCAAAGTCTTGTGATAGTTGCATTATATCTTCTTCTTTGAGCTGTTTACAATCATGTAAGCTTTCTCCAGTTAGATCCAGAACCCCCCAGTACGCAGGACTATTGAATGAAATAGAAATGATAGAATGTATCATTAATTGGGTCATTACTAAAAACAATGATAAATGACATCAAACTTACGTAAAAATCTTATAGGATTTTGGTATTGTCTTCTGGTATTCGTGAAAGGCTTCAATGATACTTGCATCCATATTTTTTGGTTGATTCTGTTTAGGATAATATAATGAGCCTACTGAATGCATATTCCCAACTATTAACATTAAGGCTTACCTCTGAGACGCTATTATCACTTGCTTGTGGTAATATATTCTCTTGCCCAAGAACTTTTTTATCAATACTTTCCACAAGGGCATCTTTGTTTGTTTCATCAAATAATAACGACAATCCTTCATAATCCGGCTCATATTCATCTCTTTTTCTTTTCGAACTTTTCTCCAACTTCTTTCTCTCCTTGGTATTCTCTTCGTCATAAACTTTTTTATCGATATCTTCGTTGTCATCTTCGTCAATCTCATCATCATTAACATTGATATTGAAAATTTGATATAGGTGAATGGAAAATATTGAATAATAGTATTTTACGCATTTCAGAATTTTGATCCGATATTTCCTCTTTATTCACTCTTTTTGAATTTCCGGCATAATCTACCTTATTTGTTTTTCTTGGTGTTCTTCTGAGAGGCGGATTTTTTTGTTCGTTTACAATTTCAAATTTCCCTCCATTAATTACTCCGTTAAATGTGTTAATTGACCCATTTACTATTCCATTTATCGGTTGGTATAGATGAACTTGTTTATGTGTACGGTCCTCTTCCCAGGATTTTGCGACTTTACAATCTGGTCTAGGACTCTAGCATAGAAAATTTGAAAGTTAGTAATTATTATTCATACTTCAATTTATATCCCATTTGAGTATCAGGTAACCAAGCAAGTCACCTGACCCCAATGGGTCCAGTGTTAGATCGGCAAACAACCTTGAACGACAAGTAATCAAGCAAATTACTTGGGCTCTAACACTGGTTTGTGGCTCGGCAAGCAACCTTGAATGACGAAAGGCCAAGCAAGCCTACAATCGTCACGCCACTAATTTTACCTATACTTCAATTTATCTTTACATGCCTTTCGATATCTGTCAAGAAGTTGATGTGCCTTTTGTTGTCTCTTTCCTCGTTCCATATTAATGATTTCAAGATCTTTAAGGTAAGCGTCTATTTTTAAATTGAATGGTTCTATATAACATTCATTTAAAAATCCAACTATGTTCCATTTACTATATTTGCGACTGAAATATTTATGTATTTTATTATCGGACATATCGCGAAGAAAATTTCTGAAAGACGCGTTTCAGACCGATGATCACAAATTATATATTTCCACAGCCGCATGTGACTATATTACAAAGTCGCACGGAACACAAAATTTTTTCCTCTAATCAAATTGCTAGGCACGTGTTATTGTTTTTTTTTTTTTTTTCATAATCAAATAAGTATTTATTGTATTCATTTAACTTTTGAGAAGGAAACATAATTGTACATGAACATTTATACATAAATTATTTTTAAATACTTGAATATCTATTTAAACTTTAGTTTCTAGATATGCTTCCTCCTGTTTTTTTTAAAAAAAAATTACGAAATTAAAAAATTAGTTAAAAATATTATATAAATAATAATTATAATAATAAATTATTAATAAATTATTTTTTATTAATTTGATTAATAAAATATGAATTTCTTTTTTTATTATTAAAAGAATAGATTCTTTATTATTGTTTTAGTTCAAAATTTAATAAAAATCTTTTAAAATCAAATAATAAACAATTTTTATAAATATATATAGTAGAACCTTTACAAATTAATAATTTTGAGACTGATAAATTTTTATAAAATTAAGTTGATATTAAATTATAAACAATAATCACGTGATAGGATATAATTTTTTTATTTATTTAAAATCAAAATATTAATTAATAAAAAACTTTTTTTTATGTTATTAAGTATATAATTTTATTTTAAAAATTTTTTTATAATGTTTAATATTTTTTTTAAATTATATAATAAACAATATATTATTATTGTTTTTTTTTATATTTATAGAATAATGTTTAAACAACTTAATAAGACAGATTGTATTGCAATATATCATAAAAAACATGAGAATCCAGATATTATTCAAGTATAATTGATCAAATAAATTAAAAAAAACTTGACAAGTTTGTTATTTAAGTAACTATTTTCAATACTCTTAAATATTCTATTGATATTTTGATTAAAAATATAATAATTAATAACAAATAGCAATAACAATGCAAAATTATATATTCTAAATTTAAAAAATGTCTTTTTAAATAAATTTTGAAGTTTTAACATATTAACCAATTAATTAAAAAAATATTAAAAACAAAAACAATAAAAATAACAATACATTTATATTCAAATAAATTAATTTTAATATTTTCTGTAGATTGGTTAAAAAAATTCAAAAATATTATAAAATTTAAAAATTTATAATATATTATAAAAGTAATTTTATAAATATTAATATTATTGAAAATGTACTTCTTAATTTATATCAATTAATTTTATCATATAAATTTAATAATATATTCAATATTGACAAAACTAGTTTATTTATTAAAATGCAAGCTAATTATTTTTTAATAACTAAACAATTAGAAGGCAAAAAAAATTAAAAATAACATTTAACTATTATAGTATATACAAATACAACTGGTTCTGAGAAGCTTTTATTATAGATTATTAATAAATTTGCTTATTCTCACTATTTTAAAAATATTAATATTCATTTACTTGATTGTGAATATTAAGCTAATTTTAAAGCATGGATAATTACAATACTATTTAATAAATAGTTATATTGATTTTCTAAATAAATAATTGAATACAATATATTACTTATTATAGATAACTGCCCAGTATATATTGTTGGTATATTGGATATTATTAATATTGAAGTATAATTCTTATTATAAAATATAATATCTAAATTATAATTACTTTATGATAATATTATTCAAACATTTAAAACTTATTATTGTTATTAACAAGTTTATAAACTTTAATATAATTTAATAAAAACTTATAATCAAAATTATATAAACAACTTGATATACTTAATATAATTAATATATTAATACCTGCTTAAAAGATAGATATTAATATCAATATAATTATAAATTGTTGAAAATATTGTAAACTTACTAGTTTTATAATTACAAAACAAATATATAAAGTAAATAAGGTAACCTGTGAGTCCATAGTATAATGGTTAATACTTCACAGGTCAGATCACAAGATACCAGTTCAACCCTAGGTGAAGGCAGTTGAACCAAATTAAAAATGGTATCTGGAACCATAATCTGTTAAGCCCTATTTTCCATAAGAAGTCATTCGTACGCTAATCCAGTAGGACGTTGGGATTGTGATTTCCAGAAAAGGTATTGTGGCATAACGATTGTCCAGTTGGTATTACTATAATCACCAGAAGTTGCAAAGTGTATGAGATATCCGCTTTCGACAAGTAGGTTTGGTGATCTTTCTTTTAATATCTGATGTCTTTCACGCAGATCCCTGCCTTAGTCTCATTCCAATCCAGTAATAAACTGGTCTGGCAGTACTTATCCTGAGAAGGCTTCTAGTTATAAGTCCTATTCCCTGCAATATGTAAGTCGATGTTCAGGCGGTAAGCACCAGTTATAAGTACCTTGAACATTCTTAAGTATTATTGAACAAGTAAGAAATTAAATAGTTAATCCAGTTGCAGGTGGTGATAAAGGGAGTTATTTCCGATTGAGCAAGCAATGATCATATAGCTTTATTCGCCATAAATATTACCTCTAATGCCTCCTTTCAACTTCTCTTAATTCCTCCCCAGTTAAAAATAAAGCTATCCAATTACTAATGAAAATGCATATTACTGGTTCAACAAAGGATTACCTTTGTTCAGTAAATTAGTCTTTATACCTAATATAGTTATGAACAAGCTATAGCAAATGTCGTTATTTGGAGCAATCCCAATAAGTGTTGGGTATAATTGATAACTGATACATTATAGCATAGTCCTAGATAGTAATGTCGAAAGATATATGTAAATATCGTTATTAAGAATAAATACTCAGCCAAACAATTATTGCTGATGTATTTTAAAAAAAAAATAATAAATAAATAAAAATAAAGTAAATAAAGTAATATATTAATTGGAAAATATATTAACAAGAATTGAAATATAATAATACAATTCCAGTTTAAAAATTAATTAATTATAATAATGAACAAAAGATTTAAGAAATACAAATTGAAAATTTTACTGTCAAAAAAAAAAAAACAAGAATAATACAATTGAATATTCATACTATATATCTTAATAAGTACATAGAGCATTAAAGATTTTATAAGATTATTCTATATAAAGAAGTGATAAAAATAGTAAAGATTATAAAACAATTAATTTATATTATAAGTATTACTCTTTTAAAATTATACAAGTATTATACTAAACTTATTTAATAGATGTATTTATTAAAAAAACAAATAATCAATTTTAATAATTTTTTTTTATTACTATAATATGATTAATTTATTTTTATTATTATTTTTTTTTTTGCAAAAGGCATTAAATATGAGATATTTATTAAACTTTTGTTTTTATGTCATTACATTAATGATCTCTAATATACAAAGTAAGTAGATTAATCCTAGCCTAGTACAAATAAAGTTGACTTATGCAAACCTTTAAGAATTCAAGTAAGGGAAAGAAAAAAAAGATAAAAATAGCTAATTACTAGTTATATTATAAATCCTGTATATATGCTTTATAGGTGGTGATGGTAAAAGGTAGTACAGTGCTTAGGTTTTGAATTGTGACCTGAACCCATATAACCATATGACCAAATATAATATGATTAAGAGTCAATGATCTTATCCATGTTGGTGATCCAAATATCAATATGGCATAATTAGCTGACACTAATCTTCTGACAGGAGTAAACTGCTTATGGTTTTTTGTTATGAAAAATTTGAGAGCTAAATAAGACAAGAAGACAATCCTGTGATCATTCTTCTTGAATAGTATATGGAATGGTGATATTGTTAGGTATTTAAGATAGAGTTGCTCATAACTGCATGCTTCTGACATATTGGTTAGCAGTCTAGGCCCTCAGCAAAGCGATTGGCACTACCAGTTAAATTTTCTCCTTTTACAACATCTTCTCACATTTAACTGACTTGACATGCAATTATTGATTATGGAAAGATGTGCCTAGAGCTTTTAGAATAATGAGACACTTTCTCATGATCCAAACCTTTCAATCAGAATAAAACTAAATTGACCTTTTCTGTGTTAAGCTCTTTAAAACAAGAGAATAAATATTGAAAAGGAGCCTACACTCCTTGAACAAGTAAGATGTCAGCTTGAGTAAAGTTGATAGCTTGGTTGAGATAAGGAGATGACAAACTAGAAGGTTGATAAAATGAAATGATAAAAAAAAGAGAAGTCTAAAAAGAAAATCTTCAAGAGAAAGGGAAAACTGTTCATTGACAAGAAAGGAATTTGGGAAAGAAAAAAATAAATAAATAAATAAATTGCTCTTATATTTATGATTATCAAATATACAAAGCCTTGCAAAGAAAAGATTGGCTGCCCCAAAACCTTCCTAGTTCTTGTTTCAGACTGTTGTCTTGTATAGGTGTTGATCTGCTTATGCTTTTCTAAACATAAGTACTTCTTCTAAATATAGAATCTCAACAGTTAGAGGAGTCTCATGTGGTGTCAGCACATCTCAGACTCATTCTACTTGAAATTTCATCTTGTACAGAAGAAGTGAAGGAAAAAAGAAAGAAATTTTCCAAAAAAAAAAGTTTTTTGACAAAGTAGGGGTAAGTGGAAAAGAGTTTTTTTTATAATATGATTTATTTTTATTAAAATAAATTTAATAAATATAAAAACCTCATTCTTAATTAATACTTTATATATCATATAGCTATTTGTAAATTATATATTATCATTTTTATAAAAAAATATCTATAACAAAAAAAAAGATATATTTTTAATACAATATAAGATATTACTTATTTATATGTTTTTTTTAATTTTTGCCTTGTAAATTATCAAAAATTACCTAACAAAAAGAAAAAAAAAAGATCAATACAATTTTTATCAGAAATTTTTATCTATAATAAGATAATTCAAAACTTATTCTCCATTGTAAATAAAAGTGAATCAATAATATAATTTACCATAATATTACATAATTAGTATAGTTATAGAATTAATAAAGAAAAAATTTAAATATAAGA